GTCTCCAGCGAGATTGCCAGATTCGATGACTCGGCTATCGCGGCGTAGTGGAGACGGATGGTGGGTGCTGGCGTCGATCAGCCGTTGACGCACGCCAAGCTGCGAATGCCGGGGTTACTCGGAGATCAAAAGGTTGATAATTCACGTGCAGTTAGAGATTCTTTGGAAAGTATAGGATGTGCTTGCGTGCTTCATGCTGTGGTATGCAATGATTTTGAGGATGTACCGGGATATCTCCCAGTAGTTGACTTCGTGGCAGTTGTGTTCCTTGTTTGGTCGATATATTGTTCAAACTATATACAACAGGTATCAATGCGCTCAGTGCTTATTGCGACTTGAGCTTCTCGGTCAATTCTGGGACCTTTTCGAATAGATCTCCAACAAGACCAACATCCGCGACCTGGAAAATAGGTGCCTCAGCATCCTTGTTGATGGCTGCAATGACCTTGCTGTCCTTCATACCAGCCAGATGCTGAATAGCACCAGAGATACCGGCACACAGGTATAATTGTGGCGCAACGTTCTTTCCGGTCTGGCCGACTTGCAAGCTGTTGTCGGCAAAGCCACTGTCGACTGCTGCTCTTGATGCGCCGATGGCGGCACCGAGCGCGTCTGCTAGCGGTGGCATGAGCTTGTCGAACTCCTCCTTTGATTTCAGACCACGGCCACCGGAGACGACCTTCTCTGCAGAGCCGAGATCGGGACGGTCAGACTTCTGGAGGTCCTCAGATATCCACTCTGTTGAGCATTCGGCCTTGGGGTCGACGCCCTCCTCCACTGTTGCGTTTCCGCCTTCGGTTTCAGGCGCGGGGAATGCGGTGCCTCGAACGGTGATGACTTTGGTGCTGTCGGACGATTGGACGGTCATAATGGCGTTACCGGCGTAGATTGGGCGAACGAATGCTGTAGTCCGGTTAACAACCTATTGCACACTTCAGAGGATGCTCACTTACTGTCCTCGCCCTCAATGCCGGTAATGTCTGATATTTGCTGTGTGTCCAAGAGCGCTGAGACACGCGGCATTATGTTCTTTCCAAACGCTGAGTGACCAGCGACGACATGTGTGTATCCACCCTTCTTGATGTTCTCGACCAGAAGTGGCGCATAGTTCTCGGGAAGACACTGCAGGATGTTGTCAGCCCCGTGTCATTCGATATCCCTTTGGACTACTGACCCTATCGTATGCTCCATTTTCAACGTAGATGACCTTCTCTACGCCCTTTGACTTGGCTGCTTCGTCTGCGGCCGACTTGACCCCACTTCCAGCAATGAAGGCTGTTATTGAACCTCCAAGCTTTGTCCCTGCTGTGATGGCGGCCAATGACTGTGAGACGATCTTTCCTTCCTTCTGCTCGAGAATGGCAAACGTCGACGCTAACCGTGCGAAGGCGGAGTATTGGGGTACGGCCGTGGGTTGCGACTGCCGAAGCCGTGTGCGAGCTGTGCGGAGGGCGGATTGACGAGCGGCGGAGAACATGGTGGGCGGGAACAGTGCGATGCCTCTGGGAGAAACAGACACGCAAAATTGGAGGAGGTGGTGTAGGACGCCTCGTCGAGCAACAGTGAAAGCAACCCAACGGCGCGGAGAACTATGACCTCGGTTTGGCCAGGTTAGTTATCCGGCACTAGCCTTGCATCTGCATCGGGGCTGCAGGCTGATCACGTGAGACTACTCCATGCTCCTTAGTGCTCTTTTTGCTTAGGCGTTCGAGAGCATCGCGAACTTCAGACGCGACTCCAACCCACCCATCGCAGCCCCCCATCCCCACCCTCATCCAACAACGACCACGCGGCAGCACGTTGAAAAAGACACGTTGCGATCGCGCAATCGCTCCGAGTACTCGCGCCCGCGACTTCCCCTTTGCATTGCCGCATAGCGCCTTCCAGCTCCGTCGCATCGCACAACACTCCCCGAGCCATGGCCGACGACGCGACAGCAAGCGCAACTGCTCAGGACCCAAGTCTCACTGGTGAAGGTGCCACAGACACCAATGCGCTCGATCAAGGTAGGTCGCATCCTGATTCCAATCATCACCATACCCACCGCCAGTCGCGTCAACACCATGGACGACCTATTCCATGACGACGAGCTCCTAGGTGCACTGGATCTTGCCGACTTGGATCGCATGTTCCAATCACCGGCCTTGAAACCCCTCCAAGTCGACAGTCCGCTAAGTTCCGTAGATACCAGCATGCTCGAAGACGCACCCGGCAAGGAGTCTTCCAACGATCCTGCTACTGCCACGCCCACAGCTGCATCAGATAACCCTCTCGATGCACCCGATGGCCCAAGACCGGAAGCGGAAGACGCCGATGGCCAGGATGACGAAGAGATGGGCGGCGTCGACGATGCGAAAAAGGAGAACGGCGAGGGTGGTGAAGCTGCTGACCCAGAGGCGCAAGCAAAAGCCGATTTGCAGTCAGCAGCGCGTTCACACTTTGTTACCCAGACATATGCGACCATCATCCCGAGCTACGCAACCTGGTTCGACATGCGCTACATCGACTACCGCGAGCGCAAAGCCCTACCCGAATTCTTCAACGGTCGCAACCGCAGCAAGACACCAGCCGTCTACCGTGATTACCGCGATTTCATGATCAACACATACCGCCTGAACCCATCCGAGTACCTCACAGTTACCGCATGCCGAAGAAATCTTGCAGGAGACGTCTGCGCTATCATGCGCGTGCATGCTTTCCTCGAGCAGTGGGGATTGATCAACTACCAAGTAAATCTTGCCGCTATATGATTACATTGAGTCGTGATTAACATATCAACCAGGTCGACCCTCAAGAACGCCCATCGAACATTGGTCCTCCATTCACCGGCCATTTCCGTGTCACAGTCGATACCCCCCGCGGACTGCAACCTTTCCAACCAGGACCAGGCTCAAAAGTCACGGACGGAAAGCAGCTCACAGCCACTGACCGTGCTGCGAGCCAGCAACCGACGGCAAAGAGCGAGACCAAGTCTTTAGCTGGACGAAACATCTACGAGGCCAATGGCAAAGAAGCATCCGTGGAGCCAAAAGCTGCTAATGGCGAAGGTGCCGCCAACGGTTCGGTAGACGTCAAGGATCTCGAAGCCGCTGCAAAGGAGCCAACCAAGGTCATCAACTGCTTCAGTTGCGGCGTCGAATGTACCCGTGTACATTTCCATGAAACGAAACCTTCCGAGCAGACTGGCCAGATCAAGGCTGCTGGTGGCTTGAAGCGCGACCTTTGCCCTAGGTGTTTTGTAGAGGGCAATTTCCCGCAAGGCACATCCTCAGCCGACTTCACAAAGATCTCCAACCCGGAGAACTCAGCAGCGGCCGAGACGGAAGAGAAGTGGACGGAAGAGGAGACTCTTTTGCTACTCGAGGGCTTGGAGGAGTTTGACGATGACTGGAACCGTGTCGCCGACCACGTCCAGACGAAGACACGCGAGCAGTGCGTGATGAAGTTCCTGCAGCTCGAGATTGAGGACAAGTACATCGAGGCGGATCTACCAGAGTCACAATCTGCAGCTCCTTCAACCAAATTCTTGCGCGATCTGGAGTACCTCAGCGAGGGCCGTGTACCCATCCACCACGCCGACAACCCAATTCTCAGCGTCGTCAGCTTCCTAGCTGGTCTTGCTCCCGCAAACGTCACAGAGGCAGCAGTAGCGTCGGGGCGCAGTGTCGGCGAGATGAAGCGCATCCTTCAAGAGAAGATCAACAAAGCCCCAACCGCACCATCAGAGAAGGGCAAAGAGAAGGAAGGCGAGCAGTCTACACCCGCAGCGACCGCCTCAGACATGAAGCCAGAAGGCGGCGACGCCATGGACGTCGACCCCTCTGCCGAGTCCACCGCCGTAGCCACACGGGAATCCGACTCGTCCTCCAACCCCAACCCTCTAGCCACCCTTCCCTTCGCCCTTTCCGCCGCCCGTTCCTCAGCACTAGCCTCGCACGAAGAACGCCACATCACCCGTCTCGTCTCCGGCGCCGTAAACCTCCAACTCCAAAAGCTACAGCTCAAGCTCGCTCACTTCAACGACTTTGAGAAGCTCCTCTCCGCCGAACGCCGCGATCTGCAACGCCGCCGCCAGCAGCTCTTTATGGACCGTCTCAACTTCCAGAGGAGAGTCCGCGCACTCGAAGACGCTACCAAGCGCATCAGCAGCTCCATGGGCGGCCAGGGTCTTCCCGGCAGCATGAGCAACGAAGATGCCGTCCAGGCGCTAACGGAAGCCATGCGCATGTTCGGCGTAGGCAAGGGCGAGGACAGCATGGGCGTCAAGCGCGACAGCGTCGACGCTGGTGTTGCTCAGCCCCTTGCCGAGGGCGCAGAGGGCTACAGCAAAGTAGAGATTTAGAGACATCTTAGCGCGCGCGACGTGTTCAAGATGTGGTCCTCTGAGTCAAGGCCGGGGTGTGCGTATGAGACGTTTCCTTACTATCGCATGGAAACAAAGGCAGAACAGACAAGTGCCATTCGTAGTGAGGATTTGGGACAGTGTGACTCACGTGTCGATTGTAAGCCTCACAACGGACACGGTGAAGACCACAAACGTCAGGATAGCATGATGCGCTGAATCGAATTGGGGATATGTGGTTGTTGGTCTCAAAGGGGTGTTTTCTGGCGTACAATGAGTTGGTGCCTACGCTATTCGGAACTAAGATTATGCTACAAATGGTCCGATGTGTTCAAGTCTTTTCTTTTCTGGCAGGCGGGAGTGCCTGCTGTACAAGTAGTTTCTGTTATCGAGATCGATTGCAATTCCCTTTCTCAGCACATTCAAGAGTTTTTGATGTGAATGTTGCAAGAATGTCTTGTTGAAACTATATACTGTACATGATTTTCGTCAGTAGCAGAGAAGCGTTGAACACCACTGTCTAAATGCCCCCTTGGTTCTTCAGACATGCTATACACGTAACTATATAATACAATGCCATCATCTCTTCATGCATGCCACCCTCATCACACATGCCTCACAACCCCTCTACTTCCTCTCCAGCCTCCCTGTACTCCTATCACTTCGCATCATGACTAGCCTTCGGCACCATACTCTCGCTCTCACTAACAGGTTCCTGGCTCTTAACCTGCGCCCTCGCTTTATTCGCTCGCTCGGTATCACTGTCGCCCTTTGGCTTCTGCTTGCTCTTCTCCTTCTCCTTCTCGCTATCCAGGCTGCTCATGTCGCCCCTTGCGTCGTTTACGGGGTTGTGTTTGGCGTTTGGCTTGTACTCTTCGGGGACAAGGCTGTTTTCTGGTGTGTGGGGTTTCGAGTTGCGTTCACCGGAGAATTTCCCCTTCGCTGATGCGGCGTGGTCGTTGGTGGAGGGTTGTAATGAGGAGTCTTGTTGCGCGTTGGAGGGGTTGGATGGGGTTTCGGCGGAGGCGGCCATGTCGTCTTCGTCGTCGGCGTCAGCGTCTAGCTCTGAGCCGTAGACTTCGGGGTATTCGCGGAAACAGTTTTGCATGTCCCTGAGTTTTGTCAGCTACTTGTTCAAACATAAACTGCGCGGGCCTGTTACGGCTCTGCTGTCTAATGTGGACGTACTTGAACTTGTCGATGCAGTCCATGCCCTTTGGCTCTTCGGTGGAGTATACGAAGCAGCTGAACGCCGCCTTGAACTGCTCACCACAAGGGCCATGAGCCATGCCGCCCAGACATGGGCAATCCCAATTGATCTCGCCTGTCTCCGGGTTGAATGCGCCCTGTTGATCTGCCTCTTCCTCGAGTCCTTCTATGCCACCCTGGCCATCTTCTGAAGGCTTAGCATTCTGTTGTGCGCGCTCAGCCTCTTTTTGCTTCTGGGCCTCGATTTGTGCCTGTACTGCTTGTCGTCGCTTGCGCTCTTCGGAGATGGATTCGATGGTGGGGAGGTGCTCGGATTCAACTTCGGTTTCTGGGAGGGGTTGGACAAGTTCTGAGGCAGGATCAGCTACTCTGGTTCAATTCGTCCGTCCATTGGCCTCTGAACATACGTCTTGGCTCCTCTGCGAAAACATCCGTGGTGTTGTAATAGTATATTATTGCTCCGGCAACACCCAGCCTAGCAACCAAGCTCTTGAAACTTCTCGACTTTTGTGATGGTGGTGCGGTGCTCAAGTACCGCCTGGCCGGCGCGACAGACCGTAGTGGCGCGGGTCGCAGCGCTGGACGCGCAATTAACCGTGGGGCTGCACGGAACATGATGCTAAAAGATGTGAAACGGGAAAGAGATACAAAGAGAGAGACGTGGCGGATGTCAACGGTACACGGAAGTGTCGTCACTACGTAAAAGTTATGGGACCTGCATTTCTAAGCGGAAGGAGCAGGGATCTGCGTGGCTGGAGATCTCGGATCACGTGGTGGAACTTCCGAGAATTCTGGGCACCATCCTAAGTACATCCGACATGGTAATCAGAGTGCAGTCGCAAATCGTTCGAAATTTCATGCGTAATCTGAATGGCTTTGGTATGGTCAAGATGATGTTTGAACGGGTATATTGAACGTGACCTCATATATACAGAAGTGGACTCATGAAGGCATCTCGCCTCAAGACCGAAACCGAGTAGAGAACCCCTTGCTTGCTGTATGGTACCGCGGAAAAGAAGAAGACAACATAGCCAAATCGGTACAGTCCAGATGATCAAGATTTCAGCATGATTCCGTCGTACGAGGTGCTATTGAAGTAGAGTGCAAATTTGAACAAAGCGATCAGGCAGCACGTCTATTTCGGGGGGTTGCGCTTGAAGAAGTACCTGTTGCGAATGTTAGCACACGTGCCATCAGAGCACTTCTATTTGGACAACGTACTGGCTGACGTAGTAGTCTCCAACGCCGAACAGTCCAATGACAGCAGCCCAGGCCGCGACGACCTTGCCGGTCAGCTCGCCGCGGGCATACTGCCTGTATGCGCCAAATCCAACGATGCCACCAACAACGGCAAGGCCAACTGCGTTGCTCAGCACGACCGGGTTGTCGGCGTTCTTCTTCATCTTGTCCTTGGCTGCCTCCTTCTTTGCTGCAGCGCGGTCCTTGATGTGCTTGGCCTCTTCCTTGATTTCCTCTTCACGCTCCATGCGCTCGGCTTGCGTGTCGGTCTTGACGGATTGCGACTCGTAGTCCGAGGGGACCGAGGAGATGTGCGGGCTGTCTACGTCGACAAGGGAGTGTACGCTGTCGTCGGAAGCGTGCTCGATCTCAGGTTGGGCGGGGGCGCGACTGCAATGCTACGTCAGAACAACTCTAGCAGTTTCATGCCTCAGAACACAGGTCTTGTATTTTGACTAAGATGCAACACAGGGTGCCGTCATGCATCGTCAAAGCTGACGTTGGAGGGGTAAACTCCTCCCAAATGAACGGGGTGACTTACGCCTATCTTCAAGTTAGCATTGGCACACATTGCAAGCACTCTTCAACAACTCACCTCCTCGGGGCTCTGCTTGGGGCCCTTGGCGGCCATCTCTGCGTAAGACATGATGTATGAGGGGTATTGGTGGTTGGATAGAGAAGTGGAAAAAGTGCTGTCGCAAGGGTTGATGTGAGGTTTGCAGATCAGTCGATGGGTACCGGGAAGCTGCGAAGTCAATGGGCGATCGTGTGAGACCGGAAACAGGCTCCCTCACATGCCTGTTCGCTTAGTGGGCGGTGACCGACGTCATCCTGAGCACGTTAGCGGCGACGTAGCGAAAGCGCCAAGCATAGGAACAGCACATCCATGTGGAGCATGTGAATGATCTGGACCGGATGAATACAAGAACAATAGTCTCAAAAATTCATTATATATCGCTGACTTCGCTTAGATGACCAAGCAAAAAGCCCAAGGGTATAAACACAATCTCCATCGTAGCCATCGATACACGCCTCACGGACCTCGATACAGATAGGATCCAAAACTGTGTGCAGATTCGTATGATACACAGACAAGGACAAACAAGCTCTTGGAGATCGGGCCGGTAACGCCCGCTGTAGATACACATGTTGAAAAATGGAAACGATATAACAGAAGTTTTGGGCGCCTTCGATTGCCCTTGCGAGTTTTTGTGGGCGTTGTGCTCACTTTATTCATCACCGAAAACTGTTTTGTAGTTTTCCAGAAGCGCTTGCACGGCGACACGCTGCTGTTGCACGTCGGTGAGTTCGCGCTGGATGTCCATAGGCCGCATGATGGTTGGCGCAAAAACGACAGCGACATTGAGTGGTGTCATCTATTCACATGTTAGTCATGGTACACGTCAAACATCTATTGTGTGTACTTACCAAATTGTCACTGGCGTGCTGTATGACCCGCGACAGATGGAACACGAGGAATTGCAAGGTATCACGATGAGCCTTGGGAATTTCGTTCACAGCGGCAGACAAAGCTCTTGACTGAGCAGTCGGCTCTTCAAGTTCTGTACAATCATTAGCACTTGATCTGTTGTCGGATAGTATGGACTTACGGCCAGCTTCAAGGAACTGATCATAGACATCGTATGTGATCAGCGGCACAGGGAGCCTGCGGAAGTAGTTCTTCAGCGCAGAAGTGACGGAGTGAATGTCGAGATCTGGGTCCGAGATGTCGTGCTCGGTGTCTGTCTCGAAGCCACTGCGTACTTGGTTCACCTGCGAGGTACCGCCGCTTTTACGGTAGATACCTTCCACGTCCATGCCGCGAAGCTCGACCTCTTCGATACATCTGCTGACGATGCGTGGAATCATCTGCCGTTCAAACTCGCATCGTGCTGTCAGGTCAGACCCGAATAGCACGGTACTGGCGTCGGCGGCAGCCAGATTAGTGGTGCTGTTGTTGATGTTCTGCATGGGCCTAAAGCCTTGGGGCGGGCCGCCTGGTCTAACGTTGCCAGGCTTTCCACCGAACCAGCCTCGCGGGGTTCCTTGGTCCATGGTATCCCGGCTTTTGATGGAACTCGACATGGACATGGCTGCAATGTCAGGCCCAGAGTGCACAGAGCCGTAAGGAGTGCCAATGACCTTGACGTTGTAGTCCTCCTGCTTCTGCTCTGAACCGAATGCTCCCTTGAAGCCCTTGGTGACGTTCTTTGTAATGGCTTGTCCGCCCTTCTTCCAGGTAGAGAATTTGGTGGGTTTTCCGGTCTTCCTAATATTAACGACTTGCGGCTGCGCGACTGTCGCCTCGCCATCGTCGAGATTGGCATAGGAGTGATCATGCGGTATTACTGGTGCATCCACGGATACTTCTGATTTGCCGCCCTTGTGCTGCGCGTTGTATATACCAAGGCCATTGGCAGCAACATCAAGGTTCTGTCCACTCTTCTTGTTGTTCTTAAGGTTGGTCTGGATGTTGTCTACCAGGTCCCTGTTCATGGCGGAAAGTCTAGTGTTAGCGGCCGTGAGCGATTCGTACTCTTGGAAACCCTTGTCTTTCATCTGAATGAGGTTCGAGATCTCCTCCGTCAACTCCGATCTCTTCGTGATCAGATCCTCTATTTGATTTCCCAGATTGTCTTTGAGCTTCTGCAACGAGTTTGCAAAGTCTTTGAGAATGTCTGACTTGAGCTGACCGATCTCAACGTTGCCCTGGCCGCTCTTAGCGTGCTTGAGGTGTTCAGTCATGATTTCAAGCTCGCGGATCACCATCTCACGTTGCGTATCCAAGACAGCCATGGTGTTTCGCTTCTCTCGCAGAACCGTGTTTGCCTGTCTGATGTCGGCGGCACTATGCATCGATTCTTGTAGGCCGTTCTTCTCGGCCTCCAGCTCAGCGATCCGCTGCTGGGCGCGGCGCAGCTCGTTGCGCAGGTTGACGCCTTCCTCTTTGGTGTCGGGCGAGGCAACTGTCGGGCTGCTAATGTCGATGGAGCCGTTCGTAGGCCATTTTTTGTGACCTCGTGATGTGACTGAACCACGATCACTGAAACTGCGCCCATGCTTGGACACAGCGTTCGAAACTCTCCTGAACACCCCGTTGTCTTTTTCATCTCTTCCATCCTGGCTTCCAAGCAAACGCGCGAAATCCTCATCCATGGAGAAATCGCCCTGAGCGCTGTATCGAGGAAGGCCACCAGCTCCATATGCATCTCGGGATGCTTCGCTTTGGGCGCTGCTAATGGAATCGCTCGTCTTGTGTTGCTGAATGGCAGGTGGTTGCGGGGGTGCGCGTGGAGATGTGAACGTGTCGGTCGAGGGCGGGGCTGGCCGTCCACCTGAACGTGCGGGGAGAACTGGAGGGTCCGATGGAGTCTTAGAGGCTGGCGAATCCGAAGGACTGAGTATGCCAAGTCCGGCGTTGAGGTTCGCGCTGGCTGTGTTGGTAGATGATGTTCGCTCTGGATGGCTTAGAGTCGGTGTGGTGGGTGATGGGGCCCTCTCGTTTCGTGAGATTGGGGCTGAAGGCTTGAGGGTCGAAGCCTTGAGCGAATCACCACGCGCAGGTCTTTCTAGCGGAAGATTGGAGCCGAACGACGATTCTGAGGTCTGCGGTGAATCTTGCGAGCCAAGTGGTGGTGAGCTAGTGAAGGTTGGCTCGATGAGGGGACGACTCAGCCGCGCAGACATGATGTCGTTCTTGGAAGAAGACGGCTGCTGCTGTTGCTGTTGCTGCGGTTGCGGTGATGGCGTCTCCTCGGAGTCCTTGCGTTTGGCCTCCGCCTTCTTGTTCTTGGGTACATCCTGTAGTTTGAAGGGTTCTGGCCCTGAAGGGGCGGGAGAAGCGTGCTGACTCCTTGACCGAGGCTCAGCGGCAGGAGATTCGTTGGACATGTCCTTCTTCTTCCTAAGTGTCTCGACCAGTGTATCCGAAGGCTGCCTTCCTTTCTCTTGGAAGGCAATGTGCGGGCTCTGTGTTTGCGTCTGGCGTCTCTCTTTGGAGGCTTCTCGAGAGCCATTCTCCTTCAGCTTCTCGCGATGATCGCCAGTGGGCCTACTAAAGTAATCGCGCCCGCTCTTGCTGTCACCGCTTCCGGTCGGTTTGGCTCCCAGCGTTCGGTCATTGAATCTGCTGATGGGTCGGCCGAGCGGGGATGGACCGGGCGCAGGGTTGGGATCGAGAGCGAAGGGGAGGAGGATGCCGTCGTCGCCGTTGTCTACCAGCTCTGAACGCGCGCTGTCCTTGTTGTATGTTGTTGCTGGAAGTGTGGTATTGTCTGTAGTTGTGGCTAGGTTAGCTATGTGTGAGCATGATGTAGGCCATGTGGATTTCATACCCCTTCGTGCAGTATCCCCAATTGGTGAGGCATCGCGCCTGA